CTATACCGGGCGGGTTTCTCTTTTACTGGGGGGAAATCCGGGAAAGTTAGTCAGGTCACACTACAAAATTATTACTTTTTTTGGCCCTGGTTATCTGGGGGTAAAAAACTCCCGCATTTAAAAGTCAGGCCCCACTACAAAACATACAGGCTGGGGGGCTTATACTGGGGGTTTAAACGGGCCAGCGTATAGTCAGGTACACAAATATTTTTAAAACCCGGCGGGACCTGTTATACTGGTAAAACCCCTGCAGTATAGCCCAGGGTTCACACTACATCATAAAACGGTTTGGGCCTGGTCTTTACGGGGTAAACTCCCCGCAGTTTTGGGCCCGGGGTTCCACTAATACATATTTTAAACCGGCGGGGCGGTTTGGGGTTTTTACGGTGGTAATCTCCCGCAAATAGTCAGGTCAAAATACATACATTACGGCCGGCCCGGGCTTATAGTGGTGGAAAACGTCGCAGAATATTTAAGGTAACTACTACATTTTTAAGGCTGGGGGCTCTTTTTATTTGGTGGAAAATGCCACAGTATATTTAAAGGTACACAAACAAAATTAAGGCGGGCCGGGGTTCTTTTACTGGGGGGGGGAAATTTCCCGAGTATTGGGTCAGGGTCACAAAAACATATATACGGGCTGCCCGGGTCTTTATTTTTGGTGGAAAATTTGCCGGGAAAAGTATGGGTGGGGTCACTACTAATTTTAACGGGGCCTGGCTCCGGGGTGGTCTAATATTTCATTTTCAACTACTACAAAATACGGCTGGGTGTCCCTTTTAAGGGGGGAAAAACTGCCCCAAGGTTTAGGTAATTCAACAAAATTTTAATAACCGGGCGGGCCTCGGGTTACTGGGAACCCCTCGGTAGATTGTCGGGTACACATTTTCCAATTCAGGGTGGTTTTTAAATTTAAAAACTTCCCAAAAAATGGCCCAGGTCACCCAAAATAAAAAATATCAGCGGCCCAAGCACCGGGGAAACCGCCCGGGGTTATTAGGGGTTCATGGACTTAAATATACACCCGGGGCTTCTCTATAAAATTTTTTTGGTTTTAAAAGGGGCCGGCTTAAAAGGGCCGGCCCAAAACTATTTCGGGGGTTTTGTTCTAAAACGGTGGAACCCCCGGGGCCTTTTATAGTCGGGTACCAAAACTTTACACGGCGGGTTTAATGGTGGGTAATTTCCTAAAATTCGTGGGTGAAATAACCGGTTTGGCCGGGTTTCCCGGGGTGGAAAAAACGGGCCTATAGGGGGAAAAATAATCATATACAGGTTGGCCATACTTTATAACTCCCTTGGGTTGTATTCCAAAAATTACAGGCTTGCTCAAAGGTTTTCCTGGGTTAGTTTTCCCTGACACTTCCGGCCCTTTCATATTTTAAAAAAGGGGTGCATTATTTTTAAAATCCACATAAGGCGGCTGGCCTAATCGGTTGGAAACTGCCGGCTAAGTAAAAGGTTAAACACTACATAATATAAGCTGGCCTGTTTTTAAAATTTGGTCGGGTAAACGGGCGGTGTTCATTAACTTACCTAGGTCTACATAAATATACAGGCTGGCCCTGGCTCTATACTGGTGGTAAAACTGCCCTGCAGTATAGTCAGGTCACACTACTACATATAACAGGCTGGCCTGGCTCTATACTGGTGGTAAACTGCCTGCAGTATAGTCAGGTCACACTACATACATATACAGGCTGGCCTGTCTCTATACAGGTGGTAAACTGCCTTGCAGTATATAGTCAGGTCACACTACATACATATACAGGCTGGCCTGTCTCTATACTGGTGGTAAACTACCAGCAGTATAGTCAGGTCACAATACATACATATACAGGCTGGCCTGTCTCTATACTGGTGGTAAACTGCTTGCAGTATATAGTCAGGTCACACTACATACATATACAGGCTGGCCTGGCTCTATACTTGTGGTAAACTGCTTGCAGTATAGTCAGGTCACACTACATACATATACAGGCTGGCCTGGCTCTATACTGGTGGTAAACTGCCAGCAGTATAGTCAGGTCACACTACATACATATACAGGCTGGCCTGGCTCTATACTGGTGGTAAACTGCCTGCAGTATAGTCAGGTCACACTACATACATATACAGGCTGGCCTGTCTATATACTGGTGGTAAACTACCAGCAGTATAGTCAGGTCACAATACATACATATACAGGCTGGCCTGGCTCTATACTGGTGGTAAACTGCTTGCAGTATAGTCAGGTCACACTACATACATATACAGGCTGGCCTGGCTCTATACTGGTGGTAAACTGCCTGCAGTATAGTCAGGTCACAATACATACATATACAGGCTGGCTGTCTCTATACTGGTGGTAAACTGCCTGCAGTATAGTCAGGTCACACTACATACATATACAGGCTGGCCTGGCTCTATACTGGTGGTAAACTGCTTGCAGTATAGTCAGGTCACACTACACATACATATACAGGCTGGCCTGGCTCTATACTGGTGGTAACTGCTTGCAGTATAGTCTGGTCACACTACATACATATACAGGCTGGCCTGGCTCTATACTGGTGGTAAACTGCCTGCAGTATAGTCAGGTCACACTACATACATATACAGGCTGGCCTGGCTCTATACTGGTGGTAAACTGCCTGCAGTATAGTCAGGTCACACTACATACATATACAGGCTGGCCTGGCTCTATACTGGTGGTAAACTTCCTGCAGTATTGTCAGGTCACACTACATACATATACAGGCGTGGCCTGGCTCTATACTGGTGGTAAACTGCCTGCAGTATAGAGTCAGGTCACACTACATACATATACAGGCTGGCCTGGCTCTATACAGGTGGTAAAGGTTAATCACTTTGTTCTGGCAGGTTAAGGGTTAGATTGATTTAGGTTGAGCACCACTAAATGTTTTCCTTTGAAATTGTTGTAAATTTCAATAAAAATTAAATCACCCCCGGGGAGTTTTATTTTTTGTATTGTCGTTGAGAAAAACTGTTGATGGTTCATTCTTTTTTTAATCTATTTTATGAAAATTTTACTTCTTTTTTTAACAGTCACAAAAAAATTTAAAATTTGGTCTAGTTTAATGCATAAAAATTTAAATTAAACAATATGGTGAATGTATAAAAGGGCTTTGTAAATAAAAAATTAATATATATATAAAAAAATTTTCAAATACCCACCTAGTTTTCCCTATAGAAGTGTTTGAACATTTCCCAAATAGTTATAAAAAAACTTCGCTGGGGTTTTAAAAAGGCCTAAAAAATAAAATTTTAAAAATCTTTTTAATTCAAGTGAAGCATTTGAATTGGAAAACTCTGCAATGGGAGAAAACACAGAGATAAGCTCTGAATGACATTGATAATTGATTTTGTGTGATGCTTGGCTGGATTTGAGTGGGTCATTTTGTCTACATTTTCAGAAATGTCTGTTAATTTTTGGGGAAATCAAGATGAAAATTTGAAGTTTGTAATTACAATTTTTATTACCGTAACAGATAATTGAAGATTTAGAGTATATCCGTACAGTATTAGATAATTTTATGATACTGTTGTTGTTATTTATATTGTATTCATAATGATTTTCAGTTTTACATTTATTTTATAATATTTCCACTATCATTTATAAAGCATGTACAGTTTGTTTTAGACTGATGTGTTTAGAAATGTGCATGTTTGAGTTTTGTTATCTATTTTAACATGGGGATAATTAAATGTTAAAATGTATAATAAATACAACGCTGCTTCTATCTGAAAGTTTATTGAATTTCTATAACTTGCTGATAAAATGTCTTGTAAGCCTATCAAAGAAATGGAACATTAGGAGAGTCTCGAAGGTATTTTGTATGAGATGATTTCAGTCAAAGACACATTCTCTTTTCTCCTAGGGTAAATATAGAAATATTGAGGGTTATAGGTATATAAATAACTTGTTTTGAAATGTTTTCCTAATGGTATATTGAATATAGCATTATTATGTATAAAGAATTACATGTATAGCAATAAAGTCAGGGCTTGCCTGCTGTATTATTGATTATAGATGTATGAATATCATAAATAAATAAATAACTTCATGCATTTCTTACCACAATCTTGATAATGTAATGAAGTATTTTATTTGTCTGCAGTATTGTTTTAACATTGCTTGCTTTTTTGAATATTGGAAATTAAATGGTAAATTTATATAAGTATAATATGATATATTTTATTGTTATTTTCAGGATAAGAACGGCTGGACTGAAAGGTTTACAGGGAGTGGTAAAGAAAACAGCTCCTGATGAACTTCAGGTTAATATATGGGAAGCTGTTCACATGGATAAAATAGTTCCATCTTTACTCTACAACATGCATGATCCAGGGTATGTGAAATAACACTGATATACACAATAGTATAGTATTCCTTTTCTGAACACATTTTTTATATTTCCATTTTATTTTTGGTTCCTAAGATTGAGACAGACAATGGGTATTTATGTTGTGAAAACATACTTTGTTTTTAATATAGAAGTTATAATGATATCGGAACTTGGCTGAGCAAGTATGACATCATTTTATATAAAATGTGGTTTTATTTTAATAATGAAATAACATCACAAGGCAGTTTGCTGGTTATACAAGAAACCTAGAATGATGTGTATTTAATAATGTTCAGAAGCAGCCCATGTTAGGGTGATTTAGATATTGATGCATGTTTACCTCACTGTTATTGTACACCAATTTTAATGAAGGAATATAGTTTGATGACATTTAAATAATCAAAACAGAAATAAGCAATTTCTTAAAAAAAAATTATAATAAAACAAAATGATTTTTATGCCCCCGGGCATATAGTAATTGAACCGTCCGTCCGTCCATCTGTCCGTACGAGGTTAACCTAGAACGGCAAGTTGGATTTTTCTTAAGTTCTACCTGTACCAATGGCTTCTAAGTTTACACACTTACTAATCAATACAAAGTACATGATCTGGGCAAGTTACATAACTCTGGCTTTCATATTTACCAAGTTATTGCCCTTTTCAGCACTTAGAAAATGAATAATGGTTAACCTAAAACGGCAAATTGGAAATATCTTAAGTTCTATCTATACTAATGGCTTTATAATTTCCACGTTTACTTATCAATACAAAGTACATGATATTGCCAAGTTATATAACTGTGTCATCCATATTTCCCAGTTATTTCCCTTTTTTCACTTTGAAAATAGGGCCTTGTCTGGTTAACCTATTTCGGCAAGTTTGATTTATCTTAAATTTTTCCTAGTTGCTTAATTTCTTTAATGATATCTTTTATATTTAGTAGGTGGATACCTTTGATGGTCCTCTAATTTTTTGTGGAGTAAGTGGTCTCTAGGGTCAAGGTCAAGGTCACTGGTTTAAAAAATAAATATTAACATTTTTGCTTATACAGCCTTTATTTTTTAGTTGATGTCTTAGTTTAATACAAACATGCCAAGGGAGGTCCTCTTTCTTTGGGTGTAGTAAGGGGTCATTTGGGTCAAGGTCAATGTTACCAATGTCAAGGTCACCAATGTTAAAAAAAGATTTTTACATTTTTACAGGTGTATTGACCTTATTCTATAGACAGATGTTATTTATAATTGATAGAAACATAAACTTTGATGGAGTTAGTGGTCAGTTGGGTGAAGGTCACCAGTGCTAAAAATAGATTTTTACACATTTGCTCATACAGCCTTTATTAAGTGACAAATATATTTTATATTTAATAGGAAGATAACTTGCATGTGCTAAAAATAGCTTTTTAACTTGTGTTTACAATTTTTTGGCATTTTTTCTGTCCATAACTGAGTGAGTGGGTAAACATTTTTTGAAATATTGCTACTGACAAGAATCTGAGCCGAGGGCATTTGTGTTTAACAAACACATTCTTGTTTTAAAATCAGTTTAAGTGTTTCGTAAAAATAAAACTATATTCAATATACACTGTGTATTTATTTCCTTTGTGCATGCATCTGTTATCTTTCTTTCCAGAATATTAACTATCTATAACAGCAGTATTTGCCTCTCCTGATTAGTACAAATTCATGTTATCTGTGTAAAAGTAGGGCTAGAATATAGAATCATGAAATATTATAAATGATTCATCTGGGACAAAATTCCCCCAACCTCACAGAATGAAATAGCTCTTTGAGTGAGAACTTAGAATGATTGATGTAGTTTCTTTAATATATAGATATTATTGAAACGGGTTTAAATATTTTAGATTTGTGCCAGTGGACATAGAGAGCCCAAAAGATGAGGAAAACCCAGCTCAGGTCGCTGAAACTGTATTTAGAGATCTGATTTGTAGAGCTTCATATGGGAATCTCAAACCAGTGCTGAAACCTATCCTGGTGTAAGTTTTTATTTTAAAACCCCCACCACATGATGTGGAGGGTGCTATATCAGAGTCATTGACACAAGGCAATGTGCAAAAGCCATGCTGCCATTCGCAAGCTCTAGGTGAAGGTCACCCTTGAAGGTCAAATGTCTGACAATTTTGTGTTTCTTATGAATTCTGTACCAGATAAAGGACTTCCTTTAAACTTGGCTTAAATGTTCACTTCAACAAGGCAGTGTGCAAAAGTCATGTTGCCACTTTGCAGACTCAAAGTCAAGGTCTCATTAATTTTAAGGTCAAAATATGAACATTTTATGTCTAAACTATAAATTCAATACTTTTCAAATTACTTTTTTCAAACTTAACTCAAATGTTTACTGTTTTCTTTGATTTCATCTGGTTTTACACCATGACTGTAGGTCATATGACAACTTTACAGCTTTACTGGTGAAGGAAGACCTAACATGCACTTCCGTGTATTAGTGATCAGATTGGTGTATTCATCTCTCCTGTTGCAGCTCTAGTGATGTAATGTAAACATTGAACAAAAAACTCAAACCAGACTACTTTTGATGTAGTTTTTGCATAACTGTAACTATAAATCTGCTAAATTTGTGTAATGGAATGCAGGGTTTTGATTTTGGAACACATTATAGTTTTAAGAATTACAATACCATTATTATGATTTTATAAAAATAGAAATACTACCAACAGTATGGAAAAATGCAAGTAAGTGGACATAGGCCTGTCTCTATACTGGTGGTAAAGGCTAGTCAATTCTTGAAGCCAGTATATGTTTTGCTGGTTATTTCATAAAAGAGATATATACTTTATTTTCAGGCATATGGATAATCATGCACTGTGGACACCTCCAACATTTGTAATGAGAGTCTTCAAAATTGTCATGTATTCAGTACAGGTAATTCACATAGTACAGTTTTAATATTCACTTAATAATTCCCAAACTTAGGTCATGTCAATTCTAACTCTAATTCTGAGTCCAATTACCACTGACTTGTCAAATGGTATGTATATTTCTTTCATAAAACTTGGTGCATGTATATTATATTAATGGGAAAATCTTTCATTATCGAAATACATGTTGTTTCCAAAGTTAAAGAAGTTATTGAAAAAGTTGCATGAGATTTACAAGTTGAGTTAGTTGATACAAGAAATTCATAATTATCACAAATTTTGAGTTAAATTATTCACATTTGTACCAAGTTTCATAAAGACCACTGTGTAATTTATTATATTTGTGGCTGTATTATTAAGTTAAAGAAAGTTCTTGTCATTTGTTAAATTCATTTGCCTATTTATTTGTGTTCCGCTAAGCTTTGTATTGGTTTTTCAATATTATATGATTGAAGGCTTTAAGTTGGAAAATGGAGAAAATAATTTTCAAAAATAAATTTCCTTTTAGATTTTATTTTTGGTTTGTAAGTAGTTTGTCTATACAATAAGAAGATTTATGATGTGATTGTTGCAATTATTATATTAGTTTTAACAAGTTCATGTTTACATTATATTGTAGAACAGATTAGTGAGTAACTTGTGTATATTTATTAGATCATGGAACCTATGCCTGGTAGTTTCTTACATTCTATAAGTGAATGATATTTGGGAAACAAGAAATACTGGTGCTAATATGTTTCTGGACATTACTGAATCTAAGTAACTTCTATGTCTGCAAACACTTGCTGTTGTTTTCCTGTAAATAAACATGCATGTAATAATAATAATTAGATGTAATCATTATATAAAACCTCAAGTAAACTGACTCTTAATTTAAAGGCACATTATGCCTCAAAATGAATTAATCTTTTACTTGTTTAGAAAGGGTTGAAATTCATGTAAAAGTAGCATAATGTAAAGACAGTAGCATTTTGACTTCCATAGAAAATACTATATTTACATCACTATAACTACACTAATTGCCAAAAAGCAACAGAAGAAAAATATGCTTTAGGTGATTGGCCAATGAGTAACTTTTTTGAAACTTTAAAAGTACACCAAAAATAAATAAAAAAACTTTTAAGAAATAAAATAAAGGCATTTTTGGGGCATAATGGGGAATGAAGCTGTGTCAGTCTAGCATTTACAGTATGACTTCTGCTATCATTGCATAGGTTCCACAATGCATCTTGGTGTTTCTTTTTTTCTTGAAATCAATTTTTTTGCTAATGATTTGTATATTAAAACTGAATTCCAAAAATTGTGATTTTCATAAAAGTTAAAAGTATCAGTTATTATTATTAGGGTTAAAAAAAAGTTTGTTTGCATAATTGGTATTATAGTATTGCAGTGTAATATCATTGTGTCTAACTTTATATACTTTACAAATTTTCAACATTCACAAAGTAATGACTTGTTATTGTCATAATAATAAAGCAAAACAGACAAATCTTGACTCTGTTATTGTTATATATAAGGTTGTTATATTGTGTGTGCATTTAAATGACCTTTGTCAAAACTGAATGCGAGTTTCATGGTGTTTTTATACCCCCGCACAACAAAGTTGTAAGGGGGGTATACTGGAATCAGCTTGTCCGTCCGGCCGTCCGGCCGTCCGTCCGTTTGTTCTTGTCCGCCCAATAACTTAAGATTCCTTTGACCCACAGTCTTCATATTTGGCATGGAGGTTAGTCATGATTAGTAGATGACCCCTATTGATTTTGAGGTAACCAGGTTAAAGATCAAGGTCACAGGGGCCTTGACTTCAAAATGCTTGTCCACCCAATAACTTAAGATTCCTTTGACCCACAGTCTTTATATTTGGCATGCAGGCTAGTCATGATTAGTAGATGACCCCTATTGATTTTGAGGTCAAATGTCAAGGTCACAGGAGCATTGACTTCAAAATGCTTGTCTGCCCAATAACTTAAGATTCCTTTGACCCACAGTCTTCATAATTGGCATGCAGGTTAGTCATGATTAGTAGATGACCCCTATTGATTTTGAGGTCACCAGGTCAAAGGTCAAGGTCACAGGAGCCTTGACTTTAAAAAGCTTTTCCACTCAATAACTTAAGATTCCTTTGACCCAGTCTTCATATTAGGCGTGCAGGTTAGTCATGATTAGTAGATGACCGTTTTTGATTTTGAGGTCACCAGGTCAAAGGTCAAAGTCACAGGGGCCTTTAGTTCAAAAAGCTTTTCCGCTCAATTGCATAATAATGCTTTGGTCAACAGTCTTCATATTTAGTATTGATGTTGGTTATGATTATTAGATGACCCATTTTGATTTTTAGGTGACTGTGCTTTTATTACAATAAGCTTTTCTGCTCAAATGCTTAAGAATGCCTGTCCACAGTGTATTGAGTTTTACATTTTCACATTTGAAGCATATAATTATGTTCTCATATATTCATCATAAAACACCTCCAGGCAAAGCTGCATGAATATGGGGGGGGGGTGTATTGAAGTCATTCCGTGGCAGTTTCAGTTTTGAGGTCAGTAGGTCAAAGGTAAAGGTCACTTTGATCTTTGCCATTAAAAATGTAGAATACATAACTTAACAATGTGCTGGCTTACTTCCCTCAGATTTGGCTGGGAGGTTGTCTTTGAACTTTAAATGACCACTGTTGATTCTGACAAAGTAGTATGCGGGGGTATTCAAGCCATGACAGTGGCAGTTCTAGTTATAGTTGTTTCAAATACTTATATTCCACACTAGTAAATATATATAGATTACACTGTACAGAGTAATATGTTGTGTTCCTTTTCTAATAATGTAGGCAGTAAAGGTTATAAAATTATTTCAATTAAAAATGTAAGAACATAAAGTCATCTTTGAATTGAAATATTAATTCAATTATAGAATCATTTTAAGATATAGATATTATACATGTATATTGATAAATGTTTACTTTTCTAATTACATTTTACTTGTCATTCTGCCAAATGAGCAAAATTATCACACAATTAAGGGCTATAATTGTTTGCCTTGTTGTAAAATGTTTGTTTCTCATTTCATATTGATGCAGTGTATGGTATTCTTGCCTTCACCATTTTACATAGTGAACTCTACTTGCTTAGCCCTTACCATGCCAGATATCTTTAATGGTCATTTCTATCTTTTAATCTCAAATTAATTTCAAAGTTCTAGATATGTCATGATATATACTGAACTTCAGTGAATTTAATTTGTTTGATTGCAAGTCAATGAAGATGAAACTGGAGAGTATCTAACTGATACTAGTTTTTCGTGATAAAATTTTAATGTCAAGATTATTTATGATTCATTTAGGAGTCATTTATTACTTCTTATTGAATGCTAACTAGTGAAATGCTGGGTTTTCTCTATATCACTCACAGTGTGAATATTAATACTAAACTTTTTGTTGGAGTATGTATTAATTTGTATGGAGTCTGTGAATTTTTAAATGTACCTATAATTGTTATTTATATGTGGCAAATATTCAAGTAACATTACTTTACTAAAATTTTCAAATATTACAATGCAATGGTGACTGTACATTTGAATTTCATTTTTGTGCAGTGTCTGCTTGTGTTGTCATTGAATATCTTGCATCATCTTCTTTATGTGCATTATCTAGAGTTTCAATTGAAAAAAGAGTCACAAATTGCAGGTTTTAAGCTTGTCTGTTTTGTTTATGTCACCGTAAAGTAACAATAATACTATTAGGACCCTAGACTGTTCTGGTCACATTTAGAGTAGAATCAGTAATGCAGCAAGCTGACTAAGAGTTAAAATATTTATAAGATTTTTTTTTTCAACATTTTATCTTCTTTCATTTACAAATGTACTCCATTTTAAATAAATTCATTTTTGCAATTTTTCTTTGTTTTGAAGTAGTATTTTAGGTATTTTAAAGTGATGTAGATTTAGATGTTTGAAGATGTGATATCTTTGATGCCAGCGTATTTTACATTTTCATTGGACAAATATGTATGAATCAGTTATCCATATAAAAATACTTCAGTAAATATTCAGTCATGTAGCAGTGTAGCTAAATAAAGTGGCAATAATGACATTTGGCACATGTCTCAGTCAGATATTTTCTCACTGAAGTATATTTCCTAAACACAGCTTGAATTTCTTAATGAAATATAGTACTAGTGTGTTATATACATGTACATAGAACTTGAATGAGCAAAGTTGTCCAGTGATAACATGATTGACTACAAATGAGGGGTTTGCAAGTTTGATCCCCCAACTAGTCAGACTTAAAATGTAAACTTTGAATTGTTGTTGACCACTAAATCCTCTGTAATGTTGCTTTACAACTCACACATTAAGGAACCACTAATTGTTGATTCCTGGTGACAATGAAGAACTGATGTAGGATTGACCTTTATATAATGAATTTACAGAATATAGTGAAGTAGTTCTAGAACAAAAGTTTGTCATTATATTTTGGTTGGAAATAATCTATACACCTATAACTTGTTTCTCATAAGCCATATGCAAAGGAAGAAATTTATTATTGCTTTCTGATATCGTGGCATGTTTGACACTTTTATGTACTATGTCTATTGATAATTTACAGTTTAATCATTCTTTTCTGTGACGTATTTTGGTTTTTTGAAGTCACCTACTAGATTTAGAGATACTTGTGATTTTTTCAACAATTCCAATGTTTATTAAATCACTTGACCTTGATTTTGATTAGCTCATGTTAATAGTGTTTACAATACTAAGGAAGTAAGGTTTGCCATCTGTCTGTCTGTCCAGAATTCTGGAGACCATGAATTGCTAATTTTACTAGGTTATTTAAAATTGATAATTGAATATATGGCATTATGATAATAATGTTTGTAATGTAAGTAAGGTAATGGGAAGAGTAAACTTACCAACTTATAATGGCAATATGCTCAAGTATAAGTGGTGAGTCAAAATTACTTCATTAATGTAATTGTTTTCATATTCATATTCTTTTTTACATGATCAATAATGCCTATTATAGAAATTTCTGTATAGATTACTCTGAATAAATTCAAATGTAAACATAAAGTCTTAGATATTTATATTTTAGACATTTTATACATTTGTCATCAGTTATTAATCAGTTACCATAGTTACAGACATTCTTTGAAATATATAGCTAATTAAGCTTCAAGTATAAAGTAGATAGCATATTGTCACTTTCAAGGGTAGATATCATTGTCAGTATTAAGTGTAGATCTCTTTGTCATTTTCAAGTGTAGATCTCATTGTCAATTTCAAGGGTAAATCTTATTGTCACTTTCAAGTGCAGATCTCATTGTCATTTTCAAATATAGATCTCATTGTCACTTTCAAGGGTAGATCTCATTGTCAGTTTCAAGGGTAGATCTCATTGTCACTTTCAAGGGTAGATCTCATTGTCAGTTTTAAGGCTAAATCTCATTGTCAATTTCAAGGGTTACTGTCATTGTCACTTTCAATGGAAGATCTCATTGTTAGTTTCAAGGGTAGATCTCATTGTCAGTTTCAAGGGTAGATCTCATTGTCAGTTTCAAGGGTAGATCTCATTGTCAGTTTCAAGGGTAGATCTCAGGGATTACTAAAAAAATAAACAAGCATTATATAATATATGAGTTTGATGGATCAGCAATAAAGTAAACATTTCCGAAATATGTTACAGCAGATAAATATATATATATTATAGGTCATTGTGATATAGTGAATTATAAAAATTGTATTTAAATTTTCTTATCTTGTTAGGTTTGGTTGTATTGCAAACCTTTGTTGATTCACGGCCATACAACATGACATACAACTAAATAACAAATTTTACAGCAAAATTACTACTAGGAAAAAACAAAAAATACTTCATAAATTGACAGCAGCCATGTATAAAGATTATATAAACATGATGATTATCTAATAAATGATGATAAATTTGTAAGAAGTATTATCATTATGAAAGAAGTTTTGAGAGTTTTATTTTACAGATGTGAAGTTAAAGATGTATGTTGTATGATATATTTCAGCAACAATATGCCTATGTTGTGATTCAAGCACTCATGTCTCATCTTGACCTACATACAAGAAGTTCTCCAGATATAAAGTCGGCCATTGTTGATGTTTTATTTGAATCTGTTATCATAGCAGCTGGAGCATCAGTTGGTTTGTTCATTATTTATACTTACAAACATCTGTATACTTAGTAAGAAGAATCTTACACTGGCTGCCGGTACAGATCGGAATATCTAGCTCGACAGTAATTGTTTACTTCGGTAACAATGCTCTGCCGAGTTTCTGCTAAACATTTACCATGGAGCTAGATATTCCCGTCTTTACCGACAGCCGGTGTTTGATTCTTTTTCTTGCATATTAAATGTCATTTATTTACGATACAGAAATTACAAAAACTGATATTCTCATTACGCACTTTTTTCTAGTAGTAGCAAATGAAGTTACAAACTTCATTCATAACTGTGAAATAATGTCATCCTTATAACGCAATTCTTTCATAAAAGTCACGCGGCAATGAAGTCATTTAAAACAAGCAACTTGTCTTACATTGGGGGGTGTAAGACAGGGTTTTCTAGCACCGGTGTTAATGGGAGATAATCCTGTCTGATATACAAGAAACAAATATCTATACTTGCACACATCTGTATTCCTACAAACATCTGTATACTTCAAAACATTTTAATACTTACAAAAATAACATAGCAATGTACTTCCTTTTGATTTTTATATAGAAATATTATAAATCATGTTTCCATGGCATTGTTACATTCTGGTATTGTATTTTTGTAATTCATAATAATAGTAATGAACATTTAGCCTGGGCTTACACTTACCTGGTAGTATAGACTGATCATTGTCACCTCTAACACTTGGGGCTTTAAAGCTTATTACATAACATATATTTTGTATATTTTATAGGACCATCAGTGCTTGATGTGTTCAATACATTGGTAAAACATCTTGGGATTTCATTAGATAAGAAAAGTTCTAATGAAGCAACTAGATTACAGGAGAAGAAGTTTGAAGAAGCTATCATAAACACCATAGGTATGTATGTAGTGTCATCATTGTTGTACATTTTGTATGGATGTTTTTTTTTATATAGATTGTCAATCTTAATCACTGACATTATGGGGTGAGAGGTGAATCTAATGATACTTGGGTGGTATTGAAATACTGTAAATCATTCTTGTCCACTTTACTGGAACTCTAGCTTTAACACTATTTTGTATAGATATATTTATAACATAAAGAAGTTTATTATACTACCAATTCCAGGGGAGAGAACTAGAACATTATGTTTTCTTAAGTGTATAAAGATTACTCTCCCTTAGAGAATATTGCAAAAAAAAAAGAAAAAAATATTGGCCTGGTGATATTCATTTCTAGGATTGAAACTATACCATGTGATGTCACATGAAGTTATATAGTAAAAAGTTTATGTGAGGTATAATAGTTATAATATATTACAGGTGAATTTGCTAACAATCTACCATTATAATATATTACAGGTGAATTTGCCAACAATCTACCATTATAATATATTACAGGTGAATTTGCCAACAATCTACCATTATAATATATTACAGGTGAATTTGCTAACAATCTACCATTATAATATATTACAGGTGAATTTGCTAACAATCTACCATTATAATATATTACAGGTGAATTTGCTAACAATCTACCATTATAATATATTACAGGTGAATTTGCCAACAATCTACCATTATAATATATTACAGGTGAATTTGCCAACAATCTACCATTATAATATATTACAGGTGAATTTGCCAACAATCTACCATTATAATATATTACAGCCGAATTTGCCAACAATCTACCATTATAATATATTACAGGTGAATTTGCTAACAATCTACCATTATAATATATTACAAGTGAATTTGCTAACAATCTACCATTATAATATATTACAGGTGAATTTGCCAACAATCTACCATTATAATATATTACAGGTGAATTTGCCAACAATCGACCATTATAATATATTACAGATGAATTTGCTAACAATCTACCATTATAATATATTACAGATGAATTTGCTAACAATCTACCATTATAATATATTACAGGTGAATTTGCTAACAATCTACCATTATGATATATTACAGGTGAATTTGCCAACAATCTACCATTATAATATATTACAGGTGAATTTGCTAACAATCTACCATTATAATATATTACAGGTGAATTTGCCAACAATCTACCATTATAATATATTACAGGTGAATTTGCCAACAATCTACCATTATAATATATTACAGATGAATTTGCCAACAATCTACCATTATAATATATTACAGGTGAATTTGCCAACAATCTACCATTATAATATATTACAGGTGAATTTGCTAACAATCTACCATTATAATATATTACAGGTGAATTTGCCAACAATCTACCATTATAATATATTACAGGTGAATTTGCCAACAATCTACCATTATTATATATTACAGGTGAATTTGCCAACAATCTACCATTATTATATATTACAGGTGAATTTGCCAACAATCTACCATTATAATATATTACAGGTGAATTTGCTAACAATTCTACCATTATAATATATTACAGGTGAATTTGCCAACAATCTACCATTATAATATATTACAGGTGAATTTGCCAACAATCTACCATTATTATATATTACAGGTGAATTTGCCAACAATCTACCATTATTATATATTACAGGTGAATTTGCCAACAATCTACCATTATAATATATTACAGATGAATTTGCTAACAATCTACCATTATAATATATTACAGGTGAATTTGCCAACAATCTACCATTATAATATATTACAGGTGAATTTGCCAACAATCTACCATTATAATATATTACAGGTGAATTTGCTAACAATCTACCATTATAATATATTACAGATGAATTTGCTAACAATCTACCATTATAATATATTACAGATGAATTTGCTAACAATCTACCATTATAATATATTACAGGTGAATTTGCCAACAATCTACCATTATAATATATTACAGGTGAATTTGCTAACAATCTACCATTATAATATATTACAGGTGAATTTGCCAACAATCTACCATTATGATATATTACAGGTGAATTTGCCAACAATCTACCATTATCATATATTACAGGTGAATTTGCTAACAATCTACCATTATAATATATTACAGGTGAATTTGCTAACAATCTACCAGACTATCAGAAGATAGAGATTATGATGTTTGTGATGGCAAAGTTTCCACCTTTCTTACAAGAGGAAGTGATTGGGTCTGTGAAAAATTATACAAGTAGTCTTGTTTTAAGTAATATCAATTTCTTGTTTGCTTCAAAGTAAAAAAAATGCAATGTCTGTCTTATATATTTGTGTGTAATATTTTCTAGTTGTAATTAAAGGGAGTACTTTATTATTTTAAAAATTAAATTTTTAGTTCAAAACTTCTAGTCGTATTCCTTTGTGGAAACAACTTAAATACGGAAAATTCACAGTATATTACCAATTAAAAAATGGAATATTAATTTATTATTTAATATTGATACTATATTTAAACTTCATCTGTTTATTACTTATTTATTTATGTGTATAAAGGTCACAGATGGATGTTCAATTACAGACTATGCTACTGAAGACATTGTTAAAGGTATATTGTAAATGTAGATAACTGAGACTATTGGAGTTAATATAACAATTACTGTCAACATAAATCACACTTGCTGTCCTATTCTTATAATATAAACATATAGGTAGACAGACGTTTTACTAGTAAGACGATTTACACCAAGACGGTTCACACCAAGACGTTTCACTACCTAATGGGAGTGGAACCTCTTCAAGACATTTCACTTGGGAGTGAAACATCTGGCATTCATAAACATATAGTAAGATTGTCTTGATGTAAAGACTGGCCTTACTTTAGAATAAAGAATAATACTGTGGTAATTGTTGAGGATTCTTGACAAAAGGAATGTTATTTTTACTGCAAGAAAGCACATCATTTCAAGTAAAGCGATGATGATGTTTGTCATCTGTTGTAATAATTATTGTATATGTTTAATGTATTTGACAGGTAGCTACTAAGTATAAGACAGTGAATATAGCGAATGCATTTCCTCAAGAGTTCTTGTTACCATTGTTACGTATGTCCTTGTTTGATGACCCAGCCATGAGAATTATTGTACAGGAAATCTTACATACACTCATTGACAGACATGAAAACACAGAAAAACTCATGCATGTACAGTAAGTATAACAATTCTCCTGAACTGAATAAATATTTTCGATTATCATTATGTCCTCATTTTAAGGAAATGATGTTATTTTTTGCTTACTGTTGATCTATCAGTTCATCATTGATAGGAATTATGTTGATTTACAACTGTCATATCAGCTGTAATGATTGTGATGACCAAAATGTTTTGTTTTTTTTGTGTCTTTTTGGAGAACATTCATAAGTATTTATTCTACTTTTAGACCAGTCCTAGTAACTCTGTCATTGAAAATACAGCATAGAATTTAATGCAATACAAATTTACACCCAGTAACAGAAGTCAAGCTCATTATTCATTTAATTTTTGTTGTAGGATATAAGTCATAACACAGTATAGGTCATATGGCAACTTTCCAGCTTTACTGGTGGAGGAAAACCTCTGGTGCCCTTCCATACATTATTTCAGGCACAAATGCGCATCTGCATAGAACCATTGTTGTCCTGTAAGCTAGCTTACAGAACAATGGTTCTACGCAGATGCGCATTTGAAAAGTTTTTGTCTCAATTCGAACCCTCTTGCCATGAACATCCATCCGTTCATTATTTTATAAATTGTGTTACTTTCAAGAAGTGAGTAAAAGTAACATATTTGCCAAGTAAAGCAGTGTACCACATGTAAAAAGATAAATATAAATATTATTTTCAGCTTAAAATGTTTTGTCCCCTGACTGTGATAAGAAAAACAAAATTGTAACAAAGGACATATTACCAGTGTATGATTGTAGCAAGGTTTTTAATTTTGTTTCAGAGTGTGTAAAGACATATCTAAAGCTGGGTTTAATGTAGAGAAATGTAAAGGAGCAGATGCCCTATTTATGAAGAAGGTAGGCAGGATCTGCTACAATATGTTTTAATGTTTTCTTTAAGAAATAATATCCCTCTTAGCAGTGTTTATCGGCTATTTAACATGGGTTTGGAGTTTTGATGCGTATGAATTGACCACGACGGCCTTAGGCCTGAGTGGTTAATTTTTTCGCATTAAATTGACAAAACAAGTGTTAAATAGCAGTTAAACACTGCTAAGACCAATATTATTTCGATTCTAACACGACTAAATAAGGAAGATCACTAATGTTATTTTTTCAAGCAGAAATAACTTCCGGTGTTGATTTTTGTATTAGGCTGTTCGATTTTCGCACCCTACTGTTGTGAAGATATAGAAATTATTAAACAAAAGAAATAATAAGAAAAAACGTTATTTTATCAAGTTTCTACAATAAAAACTTATGTCATATTGTCTTTACATCAGTGCCCCATTTATCATTCTTATATGTATGAAATAACGTCAGCTTGTTTATGAATGAGTTGTTTACTTAGGATGAGGTCATTACGCTGCTTACAGATTGGCTATGAATCAAATATGTGGCGTTAGTGTATGTGAGATATTATTTCGGTATTGTATGAAAAGAAAACATTATAAGAACTGAAAATATAAATAAAAATGCTTTTTATTGTTGCTTTAAAAGGCTTTGTAAACTTTATAATCCAGGGTGAAAACATAACAGCACATGTTCAAGTAGTCCCTAACCGGTGTTTATTGGCAGTTTAACACCAGTTTTTTTCCTTTGTCTATAGTGACAAAGTCACGAGAATATATTTTATATCATTTTGTTATTTCTAATAATAATATAGCCAAGTTTATTTTAGATGTGACAAAGGGAGATGAATGTGTTCTATTAACAATTTTTCTTTATGTAATAGTTGTGCCCCATTAGTCTTGAAATGATGATTTCCCCGTCTTCATTCCACATTTTCTAAGGATTCAGCAAGTTGCCAACTCAAAAATAAATAGATTGTTTTATTGTTCAGTAGGATTGGAAGTATAGATTAACGTCTTAAAATAATGCTACAGTTACAATATGAACAGCTGTATTCAAATTTTCTCAAGTATATGCTTAATGATTAAGTACAGGTTTTGATGTGTATTTTATGAACAGTATTGGTTTATAATTTTACAATGTTTGTCATTCAGTACAGACTTAAACATTATGTTTGATAGAGAATATGCTAAAAACTTTGCAATTTACTATTTTGTTTACAATATGGTGGAGAATTACAATATGTTGATAATATAGTTTGGTGTATTGTTTAACAATCTATTGATAAACAGAATGGTTTTGTATTTTACAATGTACAATAAATATATTGGAATTGTCCTGCATTTGTTATACAGTATGGTATGCAGTTTTACTGGTATTTGTTCTACAGTATGGTATGCAGTTTTACTGGTATTTGTTGGAGAATATAAAGTTAGAAAGTAACAAGGTAGACAACTTTGAGGCTCTGTATTGTACGATGGCATTGATCTGTGTAGAGATGACAACAAAAGAGATAGTACTAGAGCTTATCAGGCTAGCTCTTGACATGCAGGTAACATTTCTTCTCACAATTATAATGAACTATTTGTTAACTCCCTGATCAATACCTGTAATGTTGACAGACAGTCAATATATCATCTAGCCACACTTCTATGATGTACGATATACAATATACTAGCTCAACTTTACTGTTTCACTATAACAGTCTTTTAGCTCAGAAATGATGACTTGTAGTTTCAAATTAGTATCATTTCCAAGTCATTTACATAGATTTAGTTGGATAAATAATAAATAATGTACAAGTTTTAGTTAATAAAATTGAACTTCATTAAAAATCTAATGAAAGTTTGGGCCAGACTTCAGATAAAGTTATCTATCATTTAACAAATTTGTCGGCCAGATTTTAGTTTTTAATTCCACTTTTTAAACAAAAATAGTGGAGCTATAATCGGATGTCCCTCTTGTTGTTGATGCTGACTATGGTAAACCTTTTTGTTAAGACCCATTTTCAGAAAATATACAAACTATTTACTTCAATCCCTTTATACATGTATATTGAAAATGACAGGCAGATAATCTGCCCCTTTTACAGCTAAGATTTTAGTTCTACTTAAATTTTTTGTTAAGGTCCATTTTTCAGAAAAAATTAGTTATATCAATTTCAAACATGAAATACATGTTAGATATAACAAAATATGACACCATTGCAAAAGGGAAGATAAGTTGTTCCCTGTTTATAATACACCTGAAATAATGTTAGCATATAATGTTATATACCTGTTATCTGTCCCTCTGTTAGCAGATTTCATGTCTGATCTGTATCTTTTGAACCTGTTGAAGGAAGTTGAAATTACGTGGCAGAAAAGTTAACCATGATGAGACAATGTGCAGAGCACAGGTTTGACTTTCCAATGGTCAAGGTCACACTTTCACTTTAAAAATTTTGTGTCCACTCTGTATCTTTGGAACAAATAGATAGAAATTAAATCTTTTTTGGCAGAAATATTACTTATAATGAGACGGTGTGCAGAATACAGGTTTGGGCTTCCTGAGATCAAAATTGGCTCTGGCCCAGGGATTAACTTTATTTATATAGACTTATTTGAAAACACATTTAAGTTTTAAGTGAAACTTCAGAGGTTATAATAGTATTATAAGGATAATTAAGGTAAAATATTTTTAAAACAAGTTTCCTGCTTGGTCTCTACTCTAATTGAAAAATTATTTTTGATTACTCAAAAAAAAATTAACATTCAGGTGTATATTGCCCCCGCCTTTGCAGTGCTCTTGTTTTACTTTTTATTCTTAGGTCCATTTCTTAGACAATCAAAGTTATTCACTTCAAACTTGGTATACTCGTTCATTTTATAATTGAGATGCATTTTTAAAAGGCATGTTACCTTATATTTAATTTTTACTCATAATACTGATTTTTCTAATGAATTTCTTTGTTAATCTTTCATAAAGGTGCATTTTTCAGAAACTGACAAAGATATTCATTTTTTGAGGAGTATTTGTTCAGTATCAAATGTGAAATTAATTTCTAAGGGGCAAATTATTCTAAAAAAATATTTTTTGTTTTAATTTTTTCCCTTTTTAGATTTAGAATATTTGCCTTTTTCTCAAAACCATCACAGTTATTCACTTCAGAATTGAAATATTTGTTCACTATGAAAGGGTGAATAAGTCTGATGACCAGTTTACAGAATTATGCCCCATTCCTACTCTGGTTTTATTTCACTATCCAGCAATGTATAAAGTGGAGCATGCTGACAATGACATGTAATATATGTTGAAACATGCCTACTCTGATGTTTTCAATAACAATAGATTTAACCATACACATGTGTTCTTTATAAGAAAATATTTTGTGTTGAAATTCTGTTTATAATCCACTGATCTTTTATAATTCAAATTGAACAGATTAGGGTCATAGGGATCTATGCATTACTTTAAAATATATGACAGTTGAAAGGTGTAATTAATAATGGTTAGTGAAGAAATGAAAAAAAAAGTAAAATTTTCTCTTACAATTAAATAAATATTCTATTTCATAATCAATATGATTTTTATTTTATCATAGAAAATATATGTTCAGAGTCTCAGAGACATAGTCAGCTATCTTTAAATATCAAATTATCAACTTATCAAGTGTTTTGGTTATTTGAGGCATGTCTCATGATGATCATGCTTTACTGATTTGTGTTATTCTATATGATCCAGGACTTTATAGTTAGCAAAGAGAAGGAGTTTGAAACTGCTGGTGATATGCTCAAAGAAATGGTATATACAGCAATGCAATAACAATAATTATAACCCTGCTCCACTGTGCAATATCTGGCTTATACCATTCACATTTTCCCTTACCTTGGTTATAATGCAACATGTTACATAGATATTAAATATTACAGTTGTTAAATAGGAACACATACCTGTATATCTATTGCACTAGTCATCAGTTACAACAAATCTTCCTTTAGTTTATATGAGGGTTATTCCTTTAGTTTATATGAGGGTTATTCCTTTAGTTTATATGAGGGTTAACATAGGATTCTTGATTGTTGTAAATTGTTCAGTTTTTTTATACAGATACATGTATGTTCAAAGTTTAAGATGATTCAACTGTGTATGACAATTAGTGTATCATCATCTAGTTGTTGAAGTATTTGTTGTTAAATTACTAGTGGACATAGTTCTTGTGAAAATTATTTTCTTTTTTTTCTTACAAAAAGATAATTAAGATATTGTTAAAGATCTAGGTCATACACAGATATATAAGGCATGAAGGATAATATAAACTGTATATTGATATTGTTCAATGCAAGTTAATGAACTTGGTTCATATACAAAAATATGTTGGGTTTTTTCTTCAAGAAAAAAAAGAGCAAAAGGTAAACACTTTCACTTTGACAATAGGTATGGCTGATTAAGAGAGATAATTTCTTCTCTGCTTTAACACAAAATACATGTAACTAAATTTATTTTTTACCATAATTATTATAAGGAAAGGGAAAATTATAATACTCAACAAGGCGTTGGAAAATCAAACTTTGGTAGAGTTTTTGCATGCAAGTTAGTATATCCAAAACTACAGAAGGGAATTGGTTGAAACTACACACACTTATTTGAGAGCATAATAGGGAGACACTGTTAAGATTTTTTGACAGAATTATGGTTGTTTTGAACTTAGAAAAATCTACATTATCCAGGCTCTTGTTTTACTATCAAACACTGAGAAAAGTCAAGCATGCTGTCCTATTGTCAGCTCTGGTATTAGTTACTAGTTTACAGTCATTATATATTGATCATTCAATATTCCTTTATTCCAGAATATAGCTACAAATAATTTAAGCCTGCCATTGACACATAAGTGTGCGATACATGCCCTTGTACTAGCATTCATGAGTTTTCTGGCCCAGGTGTGCGAGTTACAGCAATTACATCAATATACACAAGAGGTAAGATACAGCAGTTTTGGGGGGTTTCTTTGTGTGTTTTTTATTTTTTGGGTTTTACATGGCACCAACACAGTATAGGTCATATGGCTACCTTTCAGGTTTACTGGTGGAAGAAGACTTAAGCTTCCACTCTGTACATTATTTCAGGCACAAATGGGCACCTGAGTAAAACCACCCACTTTTCTAAAACTAGCTGCATGCTTACCACATTAAAGAATTGAAAAAATTTTGTTTTTGCCCCAAACCCAACTTTGGGGGGGGGGGAAAGTGGTTTGAAGTAAACCCTTTTCTTAACCACTTTATAAGTTTCCTTTACCCAAATTACCACAGTTCCTCATTATATACAAAAGAACGTTACGTTGAAACCCTTAAAATCAAAAGGGTAAGCTCGGGCAATTCATAAAAAATTCCCAAAAGCTGTTTCCCATAGTTACTATAAAAAAAAGAAATTTTCCCACTACTTTAAAAAAGGGGTAATTTTTTAAAACTAAAAAGGAATTTTTAATTTTACTTTTTTCTTTGGCTCTTACAAAAAAGTTTAAAGCAATTCTTTTTAAAAAATGTTACCCAAAAAAGTGATTTTTTTTTAAATAACCCCACTTTTTTGGGTTCGGATGGCCAAATTTTTAATCACAAAGGTTGTGGGCCCGGTGATAAATGATGCACTTTCCAAAAACGAAAACTTAAAGTTAAAAAACCGAAAAAATCACTTTTTGGGGATTATTTTTCCCGATTCTAACACCTCAAAAAAATAGATTCTTTTTTCCCTTGATTTTAAAAGCAAAATTGCCCCCTTTGTTTTTTTCCTTATTTTATTTTCAGCCCCGCGGATTTTTTTAAAGGGGTTTAAAACGCATTTTTTTATTATAAACGTCTGCAGAGTCCTGGGGACGGTGGGCGGGCCCCAAAACATTTCCCAAAGGACTTTGCGGCTTTAAACCAAAAAAAATTGCTTTACGCTATTTTGCAAAATTGGGTTAAAAAAAAGATTAATGTTATTTAATAAAAACACTACATTAAATCCTTGGTTGGGAAGTATTTACCCAAATTTAATGTTTTATGATGGGTTTTATTGTCCCCTCCCGGTTTTAAACTGAAAAAATTTGTTTCCCCCCGCCCCTCTGTCGGGTCTGTCTGCCCCGTCGTCGGGCTGTCAGTCCAAAAAAACGGGAATCCCGAAATAACGCAAAAATCCCAAAAAATATTTTTACGAAATTTGAAATATGTGTAGTCGGGTCGGGAAATTTGACTTTTTTTCTTTATTTCCCTATGTTGGCATTCTGGTTGCTATGGCAAAATACCTGATTTAAAGGTTTCTGTTTAAAAATTTTTTTCAGTTTTTTCATAAAAGTTTTTAAATTTCTTAAGGTTTTTACTTAAAATTTTAAATATAAGTTTTTTTGGGTCTTCAACAATTTGACAAGGTTTAAACTCTAGAAAAAAAAATTTTTTCAGTTTTTCCCCCCTTGAATTTTAAATTTTTTTTAAAAAAAAAATTGTTGTCTTTTTTAAAAAATTTTTAATTTTTCCCTTTTAATTTTTTATCAAAACATCAAATTCATATTTTGTTTCTTATTATCATTTAAAATTTTTTGGGAAAAGGGTTTAAATACTCTACCCAAGATTTATTTTCCGGGAATTATGCCCCCCTTTTGAACTTAGTTTTTTTTCGAAAAATTTTGGGGGTTTTTTTACCCCCAACTTTTCTTCCTTTTGGTTTTTATTTTAAAACCCCACTCGTAAAAATTTGCCAAGTTTTTTATAAAATTTTCCCTTTTAAAAGGCGGGGAAAAATTTAAAACACATTTTTTAAAATAGAAAAATTGAACTAAAAAGTTTTAAAGTTCATTTATGTCTTTTCATTCACTGAAAAATTGAACCCAAAATTTTGCGGGGGGTTCTAACGCGGTAGGGGACTTATGGATTGCTTGCAATACTATGATAATTGCTTGTTTTTCCAGGGCCAACAACTTGGGAAATACAAATGCTCAGAACCGTTCGAAAATTCGAATTTTAATTGATTTAACAAAGCTTAACATAGGAGACTTATTAACTCAAGAAAAAAACATTAAATTACTCTACCCAAATCAAAGCATGACCAACTCAAGAAAAAAACATTAAATTACTCTACCCAAAACAAAGCATGACCCTCAGAAATTCCTAGAATTATTTCAGATTGACGGTAGAAAAAAGATCAGTGACATCAGAATCGTTTTTTTTTTAGCACACAAGTTTATAAAAGAATATCGGGCACTTCAGGTTATTCTCTCAAAGAAATATAAAGAGCATTTATCAATATAAACATCAATTAAACAACATTTTCTCATATTCATTTTGTGTTATCTTGTTTTGTAAGTTAGTCGGAGGGTTAAACCGAATGACAAATATTTGTTTACACCAACAACTGTCCGTTTCTTAGAAAGGGCGACAACCAAGATTAGGGGCAATGTCTATACGCCGTATTTCCGGCATAGTTTCTTGAATTTTTTATGCTGCTCGCCGTTAAGCGATTGAGGCCCTCGAATCAATAATTTCAATATAACAAGTACACATGACTCCTTGGCAAAAAGGCCAAATTGTTTTTTTTTTGTTTGTTTACTGGGCCCTGTATGTATTGCGCATAGTTAAAACTGGGCTATAACAAGAGCGCGTGACTATGTTAACGCATGGTTTTGGTCCCGTTATAACATGGGCAAAAGAGGGAAAAATAGCCGATTTTATGCTATAATAGTGGTTTCGTCACATGTATAATGATTACGTCACATATCTAACTGTGACTTTATTGCATAATAACACACACTTTTGGTTCTTCTATTTTTAAATAGTGAAAAATGCGGGTCGTGTTAAAATAAACCATAAAGTACATATTCATGAATATATTTCAATGCCATTGTTTATAAGAATTCATTAGAGTGTAAGTCTATTCATGTTTATTGTATGATTATTTAGGTTTTAGAATGGAGGAAAAAGGAAGCTTCACACCTCTTACCGGAGTTTGCCTTCAACAGAAATAATAGACCTGCAAGGTAAATTATCTTGTAAATTAATCTTGAACAGAATATGTCCACTATATTTATACATCATTCTCAAATAAATTGTATTCTATGTGTGTATAACATTCTGTATTTAGATGTACATATTGTATATAAGTGGAGATGGTGGCATATACTCACAGCTATACTTTCTCTCCTATTTGCATATCTCTATCAAAAAAACAATTTGAAATAAAACTTCACCATAATGAACCATTCAATTTCTAGGTTCAGGTTTTTATGTGTACATTTTACAAACAAACTTGTACCTATAAAAGAATGCCACATGCAGATGTAAGGGTAGGCAGACATCGTTTAGGTAGTGTTTTATCTGGAGCATAATCTTTTTCATGCTCCGAGGGATTTTCATATTACTTGATACAAATGGTCACCACTATGAGACATTGTTCTTTACCAGGTCTCTAAGTCAGAGGTCAATGTCAAATTTATAGGCCAGATTCAAACATTTGTCCAGAATTAAACTTTCACATGCATTTTATGATCTTATATAACTTGTCACAATTACATGTACTAATGTTCACCATTGTGTGGCCCTTTGTGGCTTACAAAATTTAGGTCTCTACAGCAGAGGTCAAAGTCAACGGAGAGGTCAAAAATCAGATAAAATACATGTATGGAAATTTTGGTAACCTGAAATTCCCAAATGTTCACAATGAGACTGTTACCAGGATAGTCCAGGTCAATATATGCAAGGTCATCAAAGATGGTGAAATGTCCAGATTTTGTTGGTAGCATGTCTTCTACGTGCATGGATGAATTTTAGTTTTACTTGCTGCAAAATAATGATCACCTTCATAAGAAGTATAGTCTCATGCATGAACCCGGTCTCTAGGTCAAGGTTACAAAAGACGTCAGTCCAGAACAAAATTTCTTCATACATAAAAAGTCTAAAATTATTGTTGTGTGACCAGTGGTTTGAACCCTTGCAACACCTGGGAAATTGTTTGTGTTACTTTACTATGTATATTTTCCTGCTTATGACTTTCTTCCTTTCATATATATACAGAAATATACCACTGTGTTGATATTTTTCAACGATGGTTAAATAATCTTCCTCAGTCTAACAGAATATTCCTTTACAGCAGTTTTGGAGTAACAACTTATCTTAGAGTAACAAGTTATTTATCTTTATATAATTAAAAGTAATACTGTTGAAATATTTAAACTCATTTTTATTGTTATGAATCATTTTGGATCAGCTTCTTGTTTTATTGTTATGTTTTTGTTTCTCATCACAGACCACGGTAATTAAATTTGATATTTAGCATGTACCACATTTAAAATATTGAATTTTCTTCCAATGAGTTTGTGAATTATTGGTTATATTGTTGTTTTTTACCTATTGAACAATTTGGAACAAATTATTGGTTATATTGTTGTTTTTTACCTATTGAACAATGTGGAACAAATTAAAGGTTATATTGTTGTTTTTTTACCTATTGAACAATGTGGAACAGTTTACTTTTACTTTTATTGATATGATATAGGGTGCTTGGTTTAGCTTGATTATTAAGTCGGTATTTCTATCAGTGGTGTAAAAGTTATTATTTTATTTAAAATAAATTACCTATTTGTTGGCAATAAAGACATGTTGATATGATGACACATTCTACATCGTAAAACACAATACATGGCACATGATGCATTATGTATCACAGTAAAAAA